ATAGGCAGTGCACTGCCCTGCATAGTTTTTGAGGTTTGTGTATTATTAAGCTTTTCTGGGTGTATTTTGCATGCTGATCTCAAAAATGTTATCCATTTTGCTCAATCAGGTCAGATTTTTGTGCTATAGCATTTAAAGCGGAGATTCAGGTAAAATATTGGCATTTTTCGCTCAAAATGGGGTCCTCATATTCGTTCATTAAAAAATCATGCAAGCCAAATAATATATACAAACTATCTATATATATCACTATTTTTATATCCAAGAGGCACTGGTGATCGTGCAGGCAGAGGCTACGTACCCAAGACAAGTTCATCGCTACTTTTGCCTTGTAACACACTGGGGGATAATGTGTATAGTCCTCACTAACAACTACCGTCGGCTGCCACGGAGTCACCTTCCGTAGTCCGTCACTGTCGAGGGGATGTCGCTAAAGTGGCAATTTGTAAGATTTTATTTTCTTTTATGACAGCTCAATATGACACTCCTCCCCATTCGATCTAAGGCCACTAGTGTTAAATTAACAACCTGATATGCCTGATGATAGAAAATATATAGTACTGTACTTTAACAACACAACAATGAAATATGTTGGTAACCCCACACAGACACACATTAGATCATCACTCATGTGCACCTCAGCTCTCTAATACATTATTGTTGTGTATCGTGTTACGACCGTGTCTTTTTTTTTATTTAACATGCTTCCATGTTGCTCCATATTATTCCTGTAATAATGTGTTATATTTACTATTATATAATCTAGTCACCTTATCCTGTGCTGTTAAGGTTTTATCTGTTATTATTTGTTCAAGCCCATCTTATTTCTTCATTTAGTATTGTAACAAGCATTCATTCTCTCTAATGCATCTGCATCGTTAAAAGACCCAATCGGCGGTTTTGGGGCGGAATTGGCCCTATATATAGTGGTCCACCAACTGACGGTGTTTAGTCCAGTCCTCCTTGTCATTTAGTTCACATTGTTTTGAGTGACACTTGTCACCTGTTACTTATACTTAAATTTATTCCTGTGTTGTTCCTGTCGCCACCAATGTGGTATATCAATGCGAGTACCTATTCTTATCTCTTATGTGTCCATCAGTGCTTGCTTAGTTACATTTAAGTAATTCAGTGTTATTTCACGTTAGTTAATTTCAGTGTTAGTTTTTATATGTTTATGCAGTGTTAACGTAATCCAATGGTTTATTTTTATTCTTTTGATGTTTCGATGTTTAGTATCATTTGTGTCTTAAAAGTTTCGATTGTGAATCAATTTGTTGTGACAGCTCACGAGGCTCTTTGTTGTATTAATATTTAATTTAATTAAATTCTTAAAGGTTTACTTTATTTATTTTTTATTCCCATTTAATTTACTTTTACCATTTGTTTGGTTACGCCTAGAACCTTGGATATTAGTAATTAAGAGACGGAGTAACAATCAGAACATATCAACATTGTCTTGTACAGAAATGACTGAAGAAAAATCTGCTGACTGTCAATAACATTTTGCTTTCAATATATTAATATAATGTGAAGCAACAGCGACGTCGTACAACTACGCTCCTCCCGCGTACGTCGG